TCTTTTGAAATAAATTTAAATTCACATAATATATAAAAATAATACAAGAGTTCCCTTGCTTGTATCTTTTGCTTATTTCCAGCAGTCATAACATCTTTCATAACTGTAGTGCAGTTTTCAAAATCAGGAAATTGACATTGGTACAATACTATTAATTAAACTATATAGCCCTTGTTTGAGTTTTTACCAGTTTTGTTGTACATTCTTTTTGGGGAGGGTGGGGATTGACAGTCCTAGGCAATTATATCACATGCATAGATTATACCACCACCACAATCAAAGTACAGAACTATTTTATCACTTCAGAGAAGCTCCCGTATGCTACCCCTTTATAGCCATACTCTCAGCCAAACCATAAGCCATTTGTTTATGATTTGTTTTCCATTACTGTAATTTTGTCATATAAGAATATATGAACAGAATCATACAGTATGTAACCTTTTGATATTGATTTATTCACTTAGCATAATGCCCTTGAGTTCTATCCAAGTTTCTGTGTGCAAGGATAGTTTTCCCTTTTTATTGTTGAGTAGTATTCCAGTGTATGGATGTACCAAAGTTTATCAGTTCACCCAATAAAAGACATTTGGGTTGTTTCTGGTTTTGAATTATTACAGATAAAGTGGCTGTGAACATTTGTATACATATTTTTGTACATACGTTTTAATTTCACAGGATATATATATCTAAGGGTGCAGTTGCTGGGCTGCTTGTTAAGTGTATGCTTTACTATAAGACACTGTCAAATTCCAGGTCGGTGTGCTATTTTACATTCTCCACAGCAGTGAATGAATGATCCAGTTTTTCTACATTTCACCAGCACTTGGTATCATCTGTATTTTATATTTTAGCTTTTCTAAGAGGTGAATGGCCAGTGATGTTGAACATCTTTGCTTTCCATTTGTGTCTTTGATGGTGTCTCCAGCTCTTTTGCCCATTTTCTAATTGGATTGATTGTTTTCTTACTGCTTAAAGGTGTTCTTTATATATTCTGAGTATATTTTCTTTCAAACTGTAGCTTGTCTTTTCTTCCTCCTGAGTAATTCACAATGCAGAAATTTTACTTTTGATGAAGTCCAGTTTATCAATTTATTTTCCCTTTAAGCATTGTACTTTTGGAAAGGAAATTGTAGCTACTTTAGAAACAGCTAAAAGGTAATATGAGTATATTTCAAGAGCAAGGAAAATTTTGTTTGTCTTTACTTCTTACATCCAATTTGAGTAAAAGATACAGTTCCTGAAAGGAACTTAAAATCTGAAGCAGTGACTGGGGACAGTGGTTGAAAAACTGGCCTGAAGACCAAATCCAGTTTGAGGCCTGTTTGATAAAGTTTTATTGAAACACAGCTACTCCTATTCATTTATGTATTGTCTATAGTTATTTTCATGCAAAAGTGACAATACCTGCAACAGACCATCTGGCTCATAAAGCCTAAAATACTTAAGATGTGGCTCTCATAGGAAGTTTTCTGAACCCTGACCCAGAAGGTATTGCAGGCCTAAATTATTGCAGTCAACATTCTCATACAATTACGATTTGGATACTTTCTCTGAAATATAGCATGGTATAGTAGAAAGAGCATACATGGGCTTAGAGTCAGACAGACCTGGTTTTGAATTTTTCCTCAATTAGTGCCTACATTTTTCCCATCTGATAGAGGAGGTCTTCTACTTAGGAATTTCTTGAAGTTAAGAGTTTTCATAACTGGGAACATACTAGAGAAAAACTGCATTGACTCAGACCTCTACAAACATGTGGCATTGGTAGTTTATTGTGTTGTCATTTTTGGACTAATGGTAAAATGGACTTGAGACCTAACTTGGTTATAAGCCAAGGCACTTGTTTAATATCTTCTTTAATGTGGTTTTGAGAATATGAAATAAGGTAAAAAGCCCTTATCAAGTACTCCACATACATTGTTTATTAGGTGGTAGAGAATAGAGTAGCATTCTGGAGTAGTAAAGATCCCAGTATAAAAACACCATTGCCAGCCTCAACTTAATAATTGATGCAGTTTTTTAATGCTTTTTCACTAGATTTTAATCATTTTGAGAAGGGGTAGTGACATATTGTATTACATAACTGGGTGCAAGATTCAAATAATGTTCAAATGTTAAAAGTGGTTTAAAAAGATCTATTGAATGGTTTATTTCTAAAAAACATGAAAGATTCCTCTTAGTGTTTTCCTCATAAAAGTAAATTGAGCAATGTCACCTATTTCAGATCTGGATGAGACCCAGAACTTTGGGCTGTCAAGTTATTTGTTAGTTCCCCTAGACAGAATATATTTTTATGGGATGTGGAAATTTTTTAGGTAATACATTGTCAAGCCTGGATAGTTAATTCCTTCCAGTAAAGCCTAGTGATAATGTCAAGGTCCAAATTCTATTCTCTTTGAGTAGTTATATTTTTATGAAGTGTGACTGAACTATGTATCAGTAAATCTCATTAGGTACATGAGCTGTAGATGAGTATGTGGGTCAGTTAGTTCAAATCCATCACCATTGCATCAAAGCTCACTTGAACTATAGTATCCACTTCAAATACAGTGGATGGTATTTATAATTATGGAAGTCCCCCCAGATTTCAGTGGGAACTTTAAATTGTTAGTAAGTTGTTTTGTCATTAATATAGTTTCTTTCCTGACCCACTCCTTTACCCTCAATTTTCATTATTTTAGAATAATATTTAAGAAATACAGTATTACATATACTACTGTTCAGATTTATATTTGTTCAGATCACATGTTTCAAACTTGATAAGTGTTTGCTGAGACATTTGTTACTAAAACAAACATTAGAAGAAATGTTTCCTAGATCCTTCTCCCTAAAGATTCTGATTCAGTGGTGTAGGATAGTCTGGGAATTTGTTTTTTTTTTTTTAAACAAATACCCCAGGTTTACTTTATTTTTTTATAATTAGGGAAGGTTGGGAAACACTGAACTAGGATATCAATGATTACATCTTTAAAAATGAGTTTGTGTGTTGAAGAAAGTATTTTTAACCCTCCCAAAAAGGCTTTAAAATCTAATTTTTAGTAAGCAGAAACCTTAAATTCCAAAGTATACTTTTTAAGAGGAAAGACTTGTTCTCTAATACTTAACATCTATGTTTTATATACCTTATACCTCTCACTTGATCCTTATATAGAAGTTATCCTTTTAAATTCAATACATGCATATCTTGCTAAATAGAAATTGTATTTTCAGAAACTTGGTGTAATGACATTTCTTATGTACAAATTGATAAGCAATGCCTGTATTCTGTCTGCTGTATTTTCCATTATTCATTGTTGTATGATTTTAATAAATGTGCTTTCATTTTGGTTCTCCAGCATTATTTTGTGAATCAATATATCAAGTTTTTCCTAGATTCTTTCCATTGCAGCTCAGTTAGTTTATCTTTCTGAAGGGGTGGTGAGTATGGGGGAGAGAAAGCTTTTCTGATGTGCTTGCAAATAATAGCTTGTTTATTTAATAATTTTATATGACATTAGAGTTCAAACTGTCTAGGTGTGGAATTTATGACCATCAATCTTCTACCCATCTGTTATTCCTGTACTTCTGACCCTTTGCTTGAGCAGAGTTCCACTTATTTCACTTTTCTTTGGCAAATTAAGCTTATTCCCTGCTTTAGGCCTAATTTACCCTTTCATTATATCCCCCTGGAATGATTTGCCACCTGTGCTTTACATGTTTGAACGTTTGTATGCAACCTTTCTCAACCATTCTCACCCATGCCAGTTTTCTCAAAAGTGCTGTATAGTACATACCACTCTTCTGAGGATTTAATAATACCTTATCAGTTACTTGTTTGTAAGTATTTTGGCTAATTAAACTGGAACCTTATATAAGGTAGGGTTTATATCTTCTGTATAGAAAATCTTAGTGCAATCCTGTGCACTTTGACTATGAAATGCTTTTGGTGGTTTGATAAAATTTCAGTAACTTTTTAAAAAAATCTTTTAAGCTAATCAGGGAAGATTGTCATTTTATCTTTAATCTTTACACCCTAGAACCAAATAAAGAGAATTACTTATAAAATTAATAATAGAGTCACAGAATAAAAATTATATTTTAAGATTTGAAATGCTTAGGGAGACTGACTCCTTCACAGATGTTCTACTCATCTTTTCGGCCTTTGTGGATCCTTTTGGTCAGTCATTTTACTACTTCACTACTTTATCTACTTTAAAAAACCCTTGAGTCCTACACTAGTATAGTTTCTAGAACATAGACATCATTGGAGATTGCTCTTTGTTACTGTTTCTCAAAAGTGGTTCCCAGATCTTCCTGCATCAAAATCGCTTAGAATGCTTTTTAAAATGCAGATTCTTAATGCCCTTTTTCCTGAAATATTTCCTGTTTCTCCATACACTTTTCACTTTGCTCATTTTGTCCTTTTGCCAGACTGCTCTCCATTTTATCATCATTATCTTTGAAATCCTTCCTGTTACCAAAAGCTAACTGATGATTAGTTGCAGGTAAAACAGTAGGTTATGGATACACACTACCTACATTGGAATTTAAACTCTGTCACCTTTCCAAGATCATAGAGCTAGTTACTTACAAATATTCTGTGCTGCAGTTTCCCTAGGTATAAAACAGGGGTAACAGTCGATCTCATAGCATTGTTAAATATTAAATGACTTAATATTTGTAAATTCCTTACACTAGTGCTTGTACATAGGAAGCACCCTAGCTTCCTTTATGTATATAGGAAAGCACATTAGCTGCTTTTATGATTTCTCTTGCTTTTCAGCTCAACAAACTTTTTGCACTACAGTAATTTGTATACCTATCTTACCTCTTTCTGTTAATGTAAATTCCTAGAAAGGGCCTGCCTTAATAATTTTTTTAGTTTCTCAGTAGGTGTTCGATAAATATTTGCTATAGCAAATCATAGGAAAATAGCAAAATTGTCAGTGAGATTGTTTTTTAGAGCCTGTTTATACTTACTATAAATTATAAACTAATACTCTTTCTGTATTATGTTTCAGGAATTCTAATGAGTCATTGACCAGCACCATTTTACCAGTTGGAATGAGATATCAGAAATGGGCATTGTGCTTTTAGATCCAACATGTAACAGATGGCTGTTACTCCATGGTGATTACTTCTTCAAGCCAACACCTTTTTTGTTTGTGTAGGATCTTTGTCTCTTCGTTTTTGAATTCCCGTTGCTATTGTTGGCAAATAAAAGGAGTTCATGTAGTTTTTGCCCAAGCCTGAGTCACCATGAGTAGTAGTTTAGGAAAAGAAAAAGACTCTAAAGAGAAAGATCCCAAAGTACCATCAGCCAAGGAAAGAGAAAAGGAGGCAAAAGCCTCTGGAGGTTTTGGGAAAGAGAGCAAAGAGAAAGAACCTAAGACCAAAGGGAAAGATGCCAAAGATGGAAAGAAGGACTCCAGTGCTGCCCAGCCAGGGGTGGCTTTTTCAGTTGACAATACGATCAAACGGCCAAATCCAGCACCTGGGACTAGAAAAAAGTCTAGCAACGCAGAAGTGATTAAAGAGCTCAACAAATGCCGGGAAGAGAATTCAATGCGTTTGGACTTATCCAAGAGGTCTATACACATATTGCCATCATCAATCAAAGAGTTGACTCAATTAACAGAACTTTATTTATATAGCAACAAATTGCAGTCCCTCCCAGCAGAAGTGGGCTGTCTAGTAAATCTCATCACACTGGCTCTAAGTGAAAATTCACTTACCAGTTTGCCTGACTCTCTCGATAACTTGAAGAAGCTGCGGATGCTTGATTTACGGCATAATAAACTGAGAGAAATTCCTTCAGTGGTATATAGGGTAGATTCTCTTACCACTCTTTACCTTCGCTTTAATCGTATAACTACTGTGGAAAAAGACATCAAAAACCTGTCAAAACTCAGCATGCTAAGTATCCGAGAGAACAAAATCAAACAACTACCTGCTGAAATTGGTAAGAGGCCTTGGGTTACTATTATTATTTGTAGTATTTGTTATGCTAAATAATTTTGTTGAGTGCTTCTTAACCGTATGTATGGCTATTATCTGACACTTGCCTAAAAACAGCTGGTTTCTAAATCCCATCTTCTTTATGCTTTAATTACTCAGTTTAGCAATATTAAATAGTACTTGGTTTGAGATTATTTTATAAACTTAAGAAAGTTAGGATATAGATGTAATGGGGGCCTTTTTTCCTACAAACTTAATCTACTTCCCTTTCTATTGGAGAAAAAGTAGATTTGAAGCAGAAAAAGATTGCCTAATTTTTAAGTTGTTACCACTGCCTTTTTAAGTATTTACATATATAATTATATACTTTAAGACTACATTTTCCCATTCTCTGAATTTCCATTCTTTACCTGAAAAATGTTTGTTTAAATTCACATCACTTTTCTACCTAACTTACTACAAAAAATTGGCATACCAGAGCCTTTTGAAAAGGCAGTTTCCTAAGAAAATTGAAGGAATTTTTTTCTTTTGAAAGTACTCACGTGTTCATTAAAAGCAATCCAAGAATGCAAAGCCACCTATAAGTAAATGCAACACTGTTAACATTTTGGTAGACTTCATTTCAGTCTTTGTATATAAAGCTAAATTGTACTGAAACAAGGAAATCTTTTTAAAAGAATGGTAATAGGGTAAAAAATAGGAAATATATATACACCAACAAGTCAGTAGACAGAAATCAGTTATTTTGGTTTTTTTAATTATGGAAAAAAATTCCAGAAATATTTGGAATATAGTAAACCATTGACTTAGCCATTTTGAGAAATTGACAAAGGTATTATTGTCTTTGTGGGCCCTTTAAGATTTTTAAAAATTGACATAAAAATTGGTTATGCAACTTTTTAAAAGAAAGTTTTCTTTTTGTACAAAAGGGAAATTTATTCTTAATAAAGCAGGTGAGTTAAGTATATTGTTGCCTTGAGCATTGGTCCTATAGTGGGTGATAAAGGAAAGTTTCTGTTTTTAGGCTCTGCAGCTTTGTAGAGAATATATTCCATGGGTATTTAAAAATGTTTATTTAGTTTTGGAAAAGATGCACTTTAAATTTTAGGTATAGCGTTCTACTACATTTAACTAACCAGACATTTAAAATCATAATTTAATTTTGGTTTAATGAAATGTATTTAGGAAATCCATAGTAGATTTTCCTTATGCTTACAAAGTATGACTCACTCATGAGATACTAAAATGTCCCCAGGAATTTGAATGGAAATTCTCCTTTTTGTGTTTTTAGATACGAATGTGGTTGTTGAATTACATTGAATACCATATTCAGTCAAAATTTGACTTATGTGTGTGGCTAATTGTTATAGGCTGTTGGAGAAAGAAACGCTGAATTTTTATATAGAAATATAAAATGCTGTTGCCTGTCTTTGTTTTTGTTGTTCTGGGTATTTTTTATACCCTATCTGACAAATTTGGCTTTAATTCATGAGAGTCTCTCTTTAAGGCTTTTTTCCCCACAGAGATGTTATCAAATTACCTTGGAATTAACATTTCTTAAGCAAGAAATTATTTCATAGGATTTTAAATATAATTTGTTCTTGAGCATATAGATATGGCATTTTTTCTGAAAAATTAATGTATTTTTAAAAATTGACATTTTAATGAAATAGTTGATAACTTTATGGCTGCCTAACCTTTTGAACTTTTTTCCTAAATTTGTAATTTAAAAAAGAACCATTGATTTGTTTTTTAAGGAGCACACTCCCACCATTGGTGACATTATTAAAACTTGTGTTTATAAGTAAGTCTCACTGTACTGTCCCCACAATGCTAGAAAAGTATATCCCACTCTCATATATCATGATATAGTGGTCTGGGAGCTTCAGGGCATCTGCACTTTTAAAGAATAAACTGGTTTATTTATTTATTTATTTATTTATTTATTTATTTATCTATCTATCTATCTATCTATCTATCTATCTATCTATCTATCTATTTATTTATTTATTTTTCATGTCACATACATTTTATTTATTGATTTATTTATTTTTATTTATTTATTTATTTATTTATT